TGCATCCTGAGAGCTGCTGGCCAGGATTGGCTTGTTGCCTGGACTCTCCCACATCTGGAAGTCAGAGTCCTGGGAAACAGGGCTGTGCCCCTGAAAACTGGGGAGACACCTGACCCCCCAGCACACCTGGGGAGACACCTGCACCTCATTCCAGAGCACCTGGGAAGACACCTGCTCCTGTCCCTAGCGCTCTTGGGGAGACACCTGCTCCTGGCCCTAGCGCTCTTGGGGAGACACCTGCTCCTGTCCCTACCGCTCTTGGGGAGACGCTTCTGAAGCCGCTAGCAGGTGAGAGGCGCACACTGGTGAAGAAGGAGTGACTGAACTGGCCTGAGTGGCCTCCTGTTCCAGTACCCAGGTCTGCAGGGCGTGGAGCTCCTGCACGTCTCACCCTGGCAGAGCCTGAACCCGGGTCCCAGTGAGGATCAGGAGGAACACGCAGGTATACCACTGTCCTCAGGGCTCGGGGGGGGTTCAAGAGACCTCACATCGTGCTGGGCTGTGACCCCAAAAGGCCCTTCCCGTAGAGCAGGAATCTCCAGCCCCGTGTCCAGTAGGTCTCCCAGGACACCCAGAGCCGTCCGAGACTTGGACCGATTTCACGGATCACCGAGCCAGGCAGGATCGACCCGGACAAAAAGACGAGTCTCCGCCTGCCGTCCTCCTGCCCCTCAGCGTGTCCGAGAGGAGCAGTGACGCCTGCCTGCGCTCCTAAGCCCCCCCACAGGGCACAGGCAGGACAGGCTGACCTCTGACCCCATCACATACCGCAGCAGAAGGTACCTCACTCCGGTAATCAACTGCACCCCCTCACCACCCTCCCCCTACAGGAGCAGCAGCCCTGCGAAGGCAAAGCTGACCAGCACCGCTAGGGAAAGGGGTACTTGAGCCGAAAGCCCCCCTGCAGTCCTCTTACCCCTGAGTCAGGACCTGTTTTATGTCTCATGTGAACAACGGCGCCTGTTTATAGTACACTGTCCCCATCACTGTACTGGGGCATGAGGACCCACACAGACTGCAGGGTGAGCGCCCCCTGCTGGCCCCACTAACACCTCTTCCAGCAGCAGCCTCAGCTTTCCCAGGAGTCTCCCCTCCAGGTACTGGCCAGGCTCACACTGCTGGGCTCCAGTGGGTGAGCGAGCTGTAACAGACACCAGCACTGCTGCAGCTGGTGACACGAGAGCCAGGAGCAGTGGGACAGGGAGGAGGTGAAGAGAAACAGACAGACTTTCTCCGGCCTACAGGGGAGGACAAGACAGCTTCACTGCTGGTCTCTATAGCCCGACCACAAGCAAGGGGGCAGGGGGCACCAGTCCCCTACTGTTGCTCCCAGTCCAGCTTTCACTGCTCCCAACACCCCCAGGTCTAAAGGCACAGAGCTCTGAGGCAGCAGATAATGTTTCCAATACGCACCCATGTAGTTTCACAGACACTCCCATTCGCATTTAACTTGAGGAAAAAGAGGTTTAATGCCTTCGTCCCACCAGCTCTAAGTCTTACAAGTAAAGCAGCAGCAGACTGGGCTCATGCAGGAAAAGCACCCATCGTCTCTCCGACTCCCAGCACAGTTCTGCTCGCTGTCCCACAGAGCCGTCCGGAACGGCTGCAAGGGGGAAAAAAGAACAAAAACAAGGGACTCCAGAACAACGTTGGTTTGATCGAAAAGTTTAATACAGGCATAAATAGCAGAAGAGAACAAATCAAAACACAAGTGAACAGTCAAACAGGTTCATGTCCCTCTGTCCCGGGGGGGTCGGAGCCCAGAGTGCCTGTGGTCTGGGGGGGGGGCTGCCGTGCCACAGAGCCGCACACCTGCGCGGACAGAAGGACAGGTGTCAGAGCAGAGCGGACAGCCTCACCGGGACTCGGCAGCAGGGCAGCGAACCGGAGATCCGCCTGGATTCAAGCCCATCCCTCAGGCTTACCGGGAATCTGTTGAGTGTCCGCCTGCACAAATCTCCGAGTAGCACGCGTGCAAGTTGCCAAGTGAGCATGTGAACAAAGGGGGCACCTGTGTGCCCTCTGGAGGGGCAGACTGTAGGAGCCAGCAGCCCTCCTGACTCAGCTGCCCCCCTCTTCCTTGACCAACAGACACCCATAATAATCCTCACACTTCTGTAGCGCTTTCCTGGACACTCCACTCAGAGGGATCCCCTCCACCACCACCAGTGTGCAGCCCCACCTGGATGCTGCACCAGTCCGCTCCCACACACCAGCTCTCAGGGGGGAGGAGAGCAGAGTGACGAAGCCAGTTCAGAGATGGGGATTATTAGGAGGCCATGATGGGTGAAGGCCAGGGGGAAATTTGGCCAGGACGCCGGGGTTACACCCCTACTCTTTACGAGAAACGCCCTGGGATTTTTAATGACCACAGAGAGTCAGGACCTGTTTTATGTCTCACCTGAAGGACGGCACCTTTTTACAGTACAGTGTCCCCGTCACTATACTGGGGCATTAGGACCCACACAGACTGCAGGGTAAGCGCCCCCTGCTGGTCCCACTAACACCTCTTCCAGCAGCAGCCTCAGCTTTCCCAGGAGTCTCCCCTCCAGGTACTGACCAGGCTCACACCTGCTGGGCTCCAGTGGGCGGCCAGCTGGGAGCTGCAGG